CATTTAGAGACTCTCAACGCTGTGCAATTTAAGACACCCACATTCATTCTTCTCCCTCAAACAGACATTAGCCATCATCTCCCATGAAGAAACTCACCCGCCCCTCCCACAGACACCCGCCCCTCCCACAGACAGGCTATGAGGACTCAGTGGTTGGCATGTGAGTTCCGTGCGCAGCAACACCAAAGAACCACCCAAGCTGGAGTTACCTTTAAAAAATGAACAAATCGTCTTCCTCATTACGCTCAACAATGTTGCTATATAGCCAACAATGGCCCACCTGGCTGGTCTGGCTCAGTGGATAGAGTGTCAGCCCATGGACTAAAGGGTCCTGGGTTTAATCCTGGTCAAGAGCACAAACTTCATTTATAGGCTCGATCCCTGGCCACGTGCAGCAGGCAGCCAATCGATGTGTCTCTCAGCGATTTTTCTCTCTCTCTGTCTATCCCTCTCTCTCCCACTTTCTCTCTAAGAAAAATAATCAATGGAAAAATAATGCTAATGACTGCCTAACTGTGATACCTGGCACATTTCATAGGTCTTCTATAGTCCTCCAAAGTAGAAAAGGAACGTAATGGTTGGGGTTTCCGTGGCTCCGAATACTTCCAGAGCAGTCGGAAACAACTCAGACTGCCCAGCGAGACAGCGGAGCGTCCACACCGAGATGCCCTCACCTCCCACGGGTTCCCACGGGGATTTCCTGCCAACAGCCTGCCGCCCTCAACGCAGGCTCCTTCTCCTCTGCCCATCCCCTCTCTACAAACATGCTGCTTTCTGTTAAGATGCTCACAAGCCCCAAGCTCTAGCCATCCCCGAGTTTCTCCCATGTACTGGCGTGACGCACATTAATAAAATTTGCTTTTCTCTTGTTACTCTGACTTTTGTCAGTTGAATTTCTGGGGCCACAGCCTCAGAACCGAGATGGGCAGAGGACATTTCTCCTCCCTCAGAAACTCTCCTAAAGTCACAGGTCCAAAGCGAATCCCCCTCCAGCACTCAAGCAAAAAACCACCGCAACCCACGTCAGACCAAGAAAAGGGGGAAGCGTGAAAAATAACCAGGAAACGGGCATTTCTGTAGCTAAGCCTCACTGCGCCCTGGCCCAGGGACCCAAGTACAGGCCACCAGGCCAAGCTGAGGTGCAGCCACAGCCAGGCACGCCCACCACAGCCCCTCACCTGCTCACCCAAGGCCGGAGGCAAAGCCAAGAGGCCACCAGCCAACACAGCCACCTCCTGGCTGGATTCAAGAGACCTCTGTTTCCTTCCTGACCCCACAAGTACCCCCAGCCCCCAAAGGAAAAGAACGCTTCTCTACTGTCCCTTTAAAATCACAATTTCACTTGACACCCTTTACTAACGCTGAGCGCTTAGTGTATAGGAAAGGGAGACATTTGAAGAGAAAAACAACCCAGCAAAATCAATGGTCTGGAATGTTTTACCCTAAAGGAGGAAAACTTACTACTGCTACTGTGTAGCTGTTTCATAAGAGTGGCATTTTGGCCCTAGCTGCTTTTGCTCAGTGGATAGAGCGTTGGCCTGTGGACTGAAGGGTCCTGGGTTTGATTCTGGTCAAGGGCCCATGCCCGGTTTGTGGGCTCAATCCCCAGTAAGAGAGCGTGCAGGAGGCAGCCGATCAATGTTCTTTCTCATCACTGATGTTTCTATCTCCCTCTCCCTTCCTCTATGAAATCAATAAAAATATATATTTTTTAAAAAGAGTAAAATTTTGAATAAGAAACCATTTCTCTGCCTGGTTGGGTTATTAAAACAATGGCTACCAGCCATGTTACTGTGAGAGCAGTGATGTGAGGGGTGATTCACAGGAGACAGCGAGAGAAACTCTCCGAGAGCCAGGTACTGCCCCATCCAGCTCTCTCGCCATCTCAAAACTTAATTGGCTTTACATCCATTCGATGTGCATATTTTCAGAATAAGAATCCACTTTTAGAAGGAGGAAAGTGTGACGCCCAACAAAATAGTCACAAGATGTTGCAACTGCAAAAAAGTTGAGAATAATTAATTTTAAAAGTCAAATAACATTGTTGTTCTGCAAAAACAAATATGACTTTTTTTTCCGCCTAAGACAAAAAAAATGGCCTGCTCTTCTGTACAGGACAACAAAAACTTGGGTCTGAGAATGAGGCCTTTTTCACATTTTAGGTGTATCTTGCCAAACTGAACAGGTGACAAGAGGAACTCATTGCCTTTATGTGTTAGGCCAGGAGTTCAGTCACAGCGGAGAAAACGCAGAATAAGTTAAAAATGCTTGTGTTCAAATTGTCACAAGGAAGCTGGGAGGGGGTGTCGGCACGGGCACCCACCTGCACCTTCCCTTTGACGAAGCTGGCGATGTCCTCCTTGCTGTCAAAGACGGGCAGGGTGTGCAGCAGGTTCCGCTCCAGCCAGTCCCAGTGCTGCTCGACCTCCTCCAGCGTCGCCCCTGGTGCAGCAGGAAAGACACGGGGTTGAGAGACAAGAGCAAGTCCCAGAACGAGGATTCGTTTCCCAGATGACACGAATCTATGTTTATGGAATTTTTCCATCCTGGGTTCTCACATCCTGGACCAGCTGCCCAGGATGCGCCCCACTGGAGCCCGGTCTCCCCGCACGGGGACTTCGACACCTGTCCCAAGGCCACACCAGCCGGGTGACCCTGGGGCATGCTCTCTGGACGTCCTGCCTCCTTCATATGTGGCATTCCTATGGCCTCCACACAAATGACAAAAGTATCCAAGATTATAGCGCTATTCCAGGGTTATAGCGCACGCAGCAGCGCGAATCTCACGCTCACAGTTTCCCTGTAAGAATGAGGCCTCAAGACAGGCCTCGGCCCGGCTGAGGGGAGCGCCTCCGAGAGGCGTTGCCACTTGCAGCAGGCCTGGCTGCACACGACTTCCGGGCTTACAGCATATCCCTCAAAATATATAAAGAAGAGGCTTCAGCCCTGGCCTGCGGCTCAGGAGTTGGAGCAGCGGTTCTCAACCTGTGGGTCGCGACCCCTTTGGCGGTCAACGACCCTTTCACAGGGGTCGCCTAAGACCATCCTGCATATCAGATATTTACATTATAATTCATAACAGTAGCAACATTACAGTTATGAAGTAGCAACGAAAATAATTTTATGGTTGGGTCACAACATGAGGAACTGTATTTAAAGGGCCAGAAGGTTGAGAACCACTGAGTTAGAACACTCCCAGCCAAGGGCACATACCTGGGTGCTGGTTCACTCCCTGCTCTAAGTGGGGGCACATGTGGGAGGCAACCAGTCAATGTTTCTCTCCCGCTCACCCCTTCTATTTCTTTCTAAAAAGCAATGGAAAAAAATATCCTCATGTGAGGATTAACAACAACAAAAAAGGCTTCATAATACATGTTAAAAGAAAAACATTGAAGTGTGTTAGTAAGTTAATTTCTTTCAAAGGCAACAACAACAACAAAACCATGCTATTTTGGAGGCATTAAGAAAGGCTGTTACCAAAAAGCTTAGCTGTGTTAGCTGTGCTGGCTGTGGTGGCTGTGTTGGCTGTGTCAGCTATGTCGGCTGTGTTAGCTGTATTGGCTGCGTCAGCTATGTCGGCTGTGTTAACTGTGTTGGCTGTGTGAGTGTGTCAACTGTATTAGCTGTATCGGCTGTGTTAGTTGTGTCAGCTGTGTGAGCATGTCAGCTGTGTTAGCTGTGTTAGTTATGTTGGCTGTGTGTGTTGGCTGTGTCAGCTGTGTCGGCTGTGTTGGCTGTGTGAGCATGTCAGCTGTGTCGGCTGTGTTAGTTGTGTCGGCTGTATCAGCTGTGTGAGCGTGTCAGCCGTGTTGTGTCGGCTGTATTAGCTGTGTTGGCTGTGTGAGCGTGTCAGCCATGTTAGTTGTGTCGGCTGTATTAGCTGTGTTGGCTGTGTGAGCGTGTCAGCCATGTTAGTTGTGTCGGCTGTATTAGCTGTGTTGGCTGTGTGAGCGTGTCAGCCATGTTAGTTGTGTCGGCTGTATTAGCTGTGTTGGCTGTGTGAGCGTGTCAGCCATGTTAGTTGTGTCGGCTGTATTAGCTGTGTTGGCTGTGTGAGCGTGTCAGCCATGTTAGTTGTGTCGGCTGTATTAGCTGTGTTGGCTGTGTGAGCGTGTCAGCCATGTTAGTTGTGTCGGCTGTATTAGCTGTGTTGGCTGTGTGAGCGTGTCAGCCATGTTAGTTGTGTCGGCTGTATTAGCTGTGTTGGCTGTGTGAGCGTGTCAGCCATGTTAGTTGTGTCGGCTGTATTAGCTGTGTTGGCTGTGTGAGCATGTAAGCTGTGTTGGCTGAGTGAGCGTGTCAGCCATGTTGGCTGTATTGGTTCAATGTTAGAAATGAACCAACAAAGTGTTCCCACGGCTTACATCAGGCCCAGCTACACTGGGTAATGCGCCACCCTGCCCTGGCGCTGACCAGTGAGGAGAACATGACCCTGAAAGGACACACCTGGAAAGCTGCTGACTGTGTGAGTGTGTCAGCCGTGTAAGCTGTGTGAGCCGTGTTAGCCGTGTTGGCTGTGTGAGCGTGTCAGCCGTGTAAGCTGTGTGAGCCATGTCAGCCGTGTTAGCTGTGTTAATTGTATTTCCTCTCAGGAAGTATCCTCGTCCTCGCCACTGGGCAGTGGGCACCTGGGCTGTGCCCGCAGTCAGTGAAGGCTGGCACAGAGCAGAGGCTCAGTGAAGTCCTGGGTGTGAAGAAACTGGCGCTGGACAGGGGAGGCTCCTGGGCACCAGGAGCAGATAAGGCTGATGGCAGAGTCAGATTTCCAAAGCGGAAGCAGGAGACACTCTAGCCATGAAGGAGCGATGGGCATCAGGCAAACCACAGCAGGAGGGAAGCACTGGCAAGGGGCATGAACCACAGGCCACGCCCCACTAACAGGCCACGCCCCACTAACACAGGCCACGCCCCACTAACACAGGCCACGCCCCCAAAACAGGCCATGCCCCACTAACACAGGTCATATGACATTAACACAGGCCACGCCCCACTAACAGGCCATGCCCCACTAACACAGGTCATATGACACTAACACAGGCCATGCCCCACTAACACAGGTCATATGACACTAACACAGGCCACACCCCACTAACAGCCAGGCCCTCATCCTGAGTTTTCCCTCCCAGAGTACGAGTGCATGAGTGGACCTCACAACACCCGACTCATATAAAGGCCACAGAACTCACTGGGATGTGCGTTTGGGGCCGGGGAGAGCAAAGGACCTGCATCAGCACCGTCTGAGCGGGCAGTGTGGGAAGGAGTAAATAGGAAGCTAGGAATACGACAAGGAAAAATGAGTTTAAAACAACGGTTTTTTCTTGTATTCTCCCAAGTTTCAGGCACGGCACTGCCAAAACAATGTCCTTCAGTCACTACTAACAACAGGCTTCCGTCCGTCCTGGAGCCGGCCCGTGGCTGCCCGCACCTCTGCCCACAGGCCCGCGGGCACCTGGTCCGCTCTCAGCCGCGTGGCTAATTGACGGCACACCAGGCAGAGGTCTGACAGCAGCTGTTGCTCACAGCTGAGTCCTGGAGCCTCAGACATGGTGGCAGGTTGGTTCCGGGGAGGACCTTCCCGGCTCACAGACGGCTGCTGCCTCACTGTCCACACCTGGCCGGGGCCGAGGGGCCTGGAGTCGCCCTGCCTATGACCTCCTCTCACCCTAATGCCTCCCACAGTTCCCAGCTCCCAGGACCACCACAGGGGACAGGGCTTCAACGTGTGAATCCTTTGAGGGTCACAATTCAGTCCCTAACGACCGGTGACCCTTCTCAGCTACCCAGCACCCGCCACCCTGTCTGGCTCTGAAAGGACAAGAAACTCAGGAAGCAGCCATCGGGGCTGTGGTCGCAGTGGATGGACGATGGGCAGGTCAAGGTGCCTGGCGACAGGCAATCAATTGTAGGGACCTCACTCCCCCCTGCAGTTTGGACCCCTGACCTTTCCTCCCCAGAGGTAGCATCTAGGCCTCAGTTGTAGTTCACTCCAGGCCCAGAAGAGCAGCAAAACCAGACAAGTGTCCCCACAGCTGACATCAGGCCCAGCTGCACTGGGTAATGACGCCCCTGCCGTGGCGCTGACCATCGAGACGACCATGACCCTGAAAGGACACACCTGGAAAGCTGCTGACTGTTTACTGAGATCTTCCCTGGAACCTCCCCTAAGGTCTCCACCCTAAAGCCCTAAGACGGAGGACCCAGCGCCTCCCTCCAGGAAGTACCACACTGCCTTTCTCCCCCACCTGGCGAGTGTAACCATTACCACCTTCCTCACTTCTAACCTCCAAGGGCCCTTCTCTGCCGCTGTAACTTGTTCCTCAGCCATTTCTTCTACCATCATTTCTTCCCTTTCTGTGACTTTCCAAATAAACGTTCTTACAGTTGGAGTCTTGGCTCGGGAGTCTCTCCCAGCAGAATCCAGGACCCAGGCACCGAGGTTGCTGAGCCAAGGTCCGGTCTGACCCCACCAGTCAGACGCCTGGTGCCCTTCCCGCCCCAATCACAGCTCCAGGTGACTGGCTGTAAACCTCTGGCTCCTCGACCCTCCCATCGAGGAGGCCCTGTGGTGTCCGGAAACCGGGGCCCTCCAGACCCCCCATTCCTCTCCTAAAGGGAAAGAACATTTTGACACAAAATCAAACCAAACCGTTCTGGCCTCCACTGCATGAACCCATGAAACTTCCAAATGCTGCCTGCCTGGCCCTGGCCCCAGGCTCCCAGGCTCCCAGGCTCGGGGTGGATGGGGAGCGCAGGGCCTGCTGCCCGCCGCCCGCCTGCACCTCCTTGCTGGGTCAGTGTCCTCACACAGCAACCGCAGCGCCAGTCACAGACACAACAGACACCCAACGCCTGGCAGATCGGGCACGGCGACTGCAGCAGGCAAAGCACGCCACGGCCTCCAGAGCCGCTGGGCTGGGCTGGGCTGGGCCGACAGACCTGCCCGGGCCTCGCTCTCTCCTCGCTTCCAGGGCCTCTTTCTGGATCTTCATCCTTCATTATCTGTGATAACACAGCTCTTGGCTCAGGAGCCTTCTGTAAAGCGAGCAGTCAGTGGAAGTGGAGAGCGCACTGGCCCTCAGTGATCTGCTCCATGCTTCACACACTTCCTGTTCCACAAAGAAGAGCTGAAGGGTCAGGAAGGAGGGAGAGGGCGAGGACTCCCCGGTGGCCCTTCTATTCCAGCCGTCCCATCAATGCGCGATGCGCCTGAGAGAGGAGACGGAGGCCGATGCGTCTCCACGGTCACATATGAATGAAAGGTCACCCGCTCAACCCTGAAGGGCCTTGCAGCCCCCGATAAGCTGGGTCTCATCACTAGGGAGCATCTGCAGAGGCCACAGGGCCAGCACTGCCGACGGCTTGACTCAAGTGCACGCGTCCTTGTGCTTGCCGGCTGAGCCCCTCAGCCACGTCCCTGGACAGGAAGCAGGTTCCCTCATCTC